TCCAGGAACAAATTGCTTTGACATCGTTGATACCAAAATAATTCAGACCAAAATTAAATCTATCATTCTGTAAATTAAGGAGTGTAGAAATTACTTCAAAGAGATTGATATTTTTTCTCTTTACAAAATTCTTATTTCACAATGCCTTGATTTTGGAAGAGCTTCAAGCCAGAGGCACTTGTGGCTGCCCTTTGGGTAAACTTGACTTTCAGCTGAAGCAAAGTGTTCCACACCCACAGCGTTTACCTAGTTCTTCTTGGTTTGGATTTTTGCCAATCTGGCAACAACCAGAGGTGCCCCAGGAGAACTGTAGTGGTGTATCTCAGGGTCCGGAGTGTGTGTTTTATGTCAATACAGACCGTCTGCTCACTGCTTGGTCTCATCTCCATGAAAACTTGGAAATTTTACCCCTTGCAAAGAGAGGGAGAATAAGTGTACAGGCTTTTAGATCATCCCTTCTCTGGTCTCCACAATCCTTTAGGGCAGGGACTGTGTTATATTTATCTCTGCAAATCCAGATCCTGGCGTGGTGCCTGGCACAGAGAAGGCACTTAACTAAGCCAAGTGTTGGTGTGTTTAGAGGTCTTAGTTTATCATCTTCTTCAACCAGGATTGGTTCAGAATCGGGTTGGGATGACAGAGTACCTACAAGGGACAGATATTGGCACCCTCCCATACAGGAACCTGGATGGTAGTGATGATAAAATATCAGTTGATATCTGAGAAATTGTCACGTTGTTGGAAACACATATAACTTCCCCAAAAAACTAAGTTGGAAGACTGTACTAGTAGGAATGTGTAGAGTCTGGTATGCTTGTAACAACAGTAAAAAAGGAACACCATTTTTTTTTAATATAGTGCACCATTTTATATAGTGATCACACTTTATAGTGTCACATGCTCCCTCTTCCCTGTAAGCCAAATGAAGACATAGGTCCAATTTTCTCCTCTTTTGGTTGAGGTTTCTTCTGCTCTTTTCCCATTAAGATTACATCTGTGATTCTGTAAAATCTTTCCTTCCCTTTCTTATTACCTAAGCATATAAAACATTCCTATGTAGAAAGATTCTGATAATTCCAAATGCTGCAAGCCCAAAACAGACTTGGAAAAATTTTCAATTTACTACCAAAGCATATTTAAATCAGAAATGTCTTAAAGCCCTAAAAGGAAAAGGGAAAAATTTTAGGGCAAAGACCAAATTGTAGCAGCAAGGAAAGCCAATGGCTAAAGAGAGAGCACATGGAAAGGGTATTTCCTCCCCACCCCAGGCACTCTGCAACGAGTTGACTGAGCATCGGGCAGGATCTTTAAATAATCTACTCTCGCATCAGACACTATTGAATTACTTTTTATCTTCATAAACAAGTACTGCCATTAATTAGTAACACTATGTACCAGACACTAGGCTAAGTGCTTTGTATGCTGTCTCTTTTAATGTTCCTCACACTTTGCAGGTGTCAAGAATCCATTTGCTGAGGTTGAGTCATTTGCCTGAGAACATACAACAAATAAATCTGTGGGACTCCACAGGCCAACTTCCTTCCACAGAACCAGTATTTCCAAGACAGGACCAGAGCCTGGCATTGTTAGCGAAGCTGTGTTTATTAGCTGTGTGGGCAAGACCTTTAAGGCGCAGAGAGCAGTGCCTGGCAGGGGGCAAGCACTCAGTAACTGTTGCTGGTGTGCAGATGCGGTCCTTGCTGAGGAAGGCAGCCCAGTCTGTCCAGTGGAAAGGGAGGCTCGGCGCACAGGTTAAGATGGCGCCAGGGCATGTGTTATCCTGACAGTTGCCTGGTAAAAGACCTGATCCAAGAAAAAGAAATGACTGGGGAAGGCTGCTTCGACCAGAGTAACTGGCCCAGATCTTTGAGCTGGCGGGGCCATGTGAAGACTCAATGAACACCAGGAGGGTTGAGAGAAGGCAGCAAGGAACAGGTAAGGGGATACTGTCTGGTGGTTTAAGTAACTAACTGTCTTTGTACACCAGGCACAGGGTGTAGAGCCCCTTCTGTGGAGGCCTCAGACCTCTCCTCAATGCTAGCAGCAGCTCTTCAAGGCATGCCTGATAGAAAGAGACTGGGAAGAACACACACCAACCTGATCACAGCAGTCGACTCATGGCCAACAGGGAGGGCCCAAGCTTGGGCATAGTCACCAGTGAAGATGCTTGCCTTGTATGTAATATATTTGTAATATGCTAATAAAGTCAAAATGTAATACATTTAAAATGGGTCCCATACATGGCAGTTTTTTGTCAACTGTGACCCACAGTGGAGATGCTATGGGTGAGAGGGAGATGGCGATGTGCTGGAATGGGGAGGGGCCTGGGGCCTGGGGCCTGGACTGCCAGTGATTCATCATTCTCCACTGTGGCAGATGTTGCTATTGGTCTCCCCCTCCCTCAGTATTAGAGGTGCGGAAGCCCCACATTTCAGCTGGGAACACTGAAACCCTGCAGTAGAGGCCACACTTCTCAGGCTCCCTCGCATCAAGGTGTGGCCACACGACTGAGCCCTGGCCAATGATGAAGTGACATGTACCAGCTTCAGGAAGCCCTCCTTCCAGCTGCAGTCCCCTGCTTTTGCCCCCATTTCTTTGTCTCTTTCTCCAGTGGCCACCTAGAATATGGATGTATTGGAGACCTAATCACCAATTTAGACCATGAAGACAAGAGCCACACCCTAGCGATCGCAGAGCAGGAGCTGGAAAGAGCCAGGATCCCCGAGGACACCACAGAGCAGGGCCATGATGCCAGCCCAGGAGTGCCTCCCTCAGTTATTCACAGGAAAGGGACACGAACCTCTCCTTGTATGAGCCACCGTATTTTAGGTTTTCTGCCAAATGCAGAAGGGACAATCTCACTCTCTTGGATTCTTCTGTTAATTTTTGCTTCTTCTCTGCCTACGTGCATGTCTCTTAGGAGCCCCTCTGTTGAACTGGGAAGGAGGCTGAGGCTGACTCGTGTGTTTCAGCTGTTCCCCCTTGTGAGCCCCTAAGTGCCTTGCAGACTGTGTATTTATTAGTGGTCTATCGTTAATAATCATAGTAACCTATCCAAGCTGACTTTTTATTGAACTTTGAAGTTTTATAGTCATAAGAGAATAAAAACCTCAGAATAAAATGTTAGGCTCTCTGATCTGTGTGAATAGGTCCCTCTTGAGCTGTTCTGGGTGTGTTTTTCTGTGATTTCCCAGCTATTGTGCTAAGCACCACACTCAGTCTCAGCTGCCTGTTAACAGGAACAGGAGGATTGATGCATTAGCATAACAAGGGATCTGTAGCTAGCCCAGGCTTTCTGAGTTACTCCTTGCACAGATGGGGTGGAGGGTGGGCAGGGACCAGAGCTGGGGTGGAAGGTGGAGGAGCATCTGAGAACAGGCAGGCCTAAAGGGCAAGGGCAGGAGAGATAGAGTCAGAGGGGTGGGCAGACATGGCTCGCTGGCACTTAATAGCTATATAATAAGCATCTCTTGAAGGAAGAAAGGGAGGAGGAAGAGAAAGAAAGAAAGAAGCAAAGAAAGAAAGAGGTTGCTAGGACCAAGAGCTAGGCAGCCAAAAAAGCATTTTTTTTTTTTAATAGAATATACAAGACAAGAATGTCCATGCAGGTGCACTGGCCTAATGCTTCAGTGGGGTGGCAAATACACACACGCACACACAGACACGGACACATAGACATATACAGATATACACATATATCATTCTCTCCTACAATGTATACATCTGACTTGTGTAACAAATAGAATATTGTAGTCATGATGGTGAGTGACTTCCAAGGCTAGGCCATAAAAAACTATGGAGGCTTCCACCTTGCCATCTCTGGGATCACTTTCTCTGCAGGAAGCCAGCCCTCACGTTGTGAGGACTCTCAAACAGCACTGTGGAGAGTTTCACCTTTTGCCAAAAGCCCATACCACCCATCCAGCCATGCGGTGAGCCAATTCAGAAACAGATCCTCCAGCCCCATTCTGGCCTTCAGCTCCAGAAGACAGCAGCCCTGGCCGAAAGCTTACAGAAGACCTTGAGCCAGCATCACCCAGCTAAGCTACTCTCGCTTTCCCAACCCACAGAAACTGTGAAGTAACAGTTTACTGGGGTTTTATGCCCAGGTAACTTGCTAAGCAGCAATAGACAACGAACACAAACTATATACACACATATTTTTCTGTATATTTAATTCATAATACAATGCATATATAGTTTTTCATCATTATCAAAATAATATGGATTCACTGAAGAAATCTTATAAGTACTATTATGATTCCCATTTTAATAGACATGGAAGCTGAAACAGACAGTTCAAGTAACTTATCTAAGCAATAAGCAAAGGAGATAGAATTTGATCTCAGGAATTCTGAGTCTATCACTATCTCATAGGATGGCACACTCTGGCTGACATTTTGTTGCATTTCCCTCCAGTCTTTTAAAAATACAGTTTAAAAAAATTCATAGACTTTACTTTCTAGAGCGCTTTTAGGTTTACAGAAAAATTGAACGGAAAGTACAAAGAGTTCCCATATATCCCCTCTCCCCTGCCCTTCTCCCCTTTTGCCTAGTTTCCCCTACTGTTAACACCAGGCATTAGTGTGGTGCATTTTTTACAACTGAGAAGCTGATATAGATGCATTAAGTCTGAGCTGACATTAGGTTTCACTCTTTATGTTCTACATTCAATGGGTTTTAACAAATGCATACTGCTGTGTAGCCACTATTACCGTAGCATACAGACTCGTTTCCTGCACTCAAAATCCCCTGTGCTGCACCTGTTCATCCTTCCTATGCATGCCATTCTTAAGCAGAGCTAATACTATATATACTAATTTTACAGTTTTGAAATTAATATTGCATAACAAGTATTTTTTCATGTCAGTAAAACTTATTTATAAACACTATTTTTAATGCTTGAACAACATCCTATGTGTGCATGGATGAACCATAACTAAATTTATCTATTCCCTATTGTTGGGCATCAAAATTGTTCTCCCAGGATTTTTGTTTTTCACAATATACGATTTTATTAATAAATCATGCAAAAGCATCAGTGATAACTGTTTGAACATGAAATTTTTTAAATAGCCATGTCTTGGTGTTAATTTTGTGCATATTGGCCTCTCTGGCACTACAAGTAAACAGATGAAAATACTGCCCATTTTCATGCACAGGTATTCAGCTATAACACCGTTGACAAATTACGGACAAGATAAATTCTGCAATAATTAATATTCATTTGGATGGCCATAATTAAATGAATATTAAATAAAGGATAGCCTATGTTCAATATACTCCAGATGACAGATTGTAATATCTAATATTATGTAAAAATTGATTCTTTATTTTATTTAAAGGGACATCTTTTGTGTATCTGGGTACTCAAATGAAAACTAGGAATGCATTCTTTGACCATAATAACAAAGTTCACATAGAAGAGGGTGTGTGCTTCCACCTCTAAAAGAGGCAATACATTTTCTCATAATCTCTCTCTCCAGGTATCATTTCCCATATTATTGATGAAAATGTTTACAAGCACCAACACCAAAATCCCATCTTGAAGGGAAAGTTACAAAGTTAAAAAAGAGTGGTTCATTATAGAAAAAAAGTCAAACCATAGCAACACCATTGCTAAAAATGACATCAATTAAAGGTCTTAGCATCCACAAAGTATATTATTTCCATGAGTTTTCTATTATGTGCAGATTTTCCTTAAGAAATAAAACGAAGTTTGAATAGCACAGTCTGCGGTGCGGTGACATCAGCAACCGCCAGTTCTTATCCATCAACAAGCCCCAATTCTTTCAATGCTTTGGAGAGATTTGGCCTTGTTCGTTCTTCAATAGAGGTTACCGACTGTAAGTAAAGTGTTCTATTTTTTCCCTCTAGGGTGGCTGGGATGCCTGGAGATTTCATTTGCAGAGAAGCACTATTGGTTAGATAATCCAAAGCTTCCTGTAGTTTAGCTGATAAAGAAAATTGAATATTTTGAGGAAGCTGGCTACAGGCTGGGCAGTTTTCCTTTCTCTCCGCTTCAAATGTGTATGTATACAGCCCATCTACATCACTGAAAACCAAGTAATTATTCAAGGGAATGTATGCACTTGTGGCTATTTTAAAAACCTCAGTGGCACACACAGCTGCAATGACTGCATTTGTGGTAGCTGCTGCAGGAATGATTCTTTTTACTACCCCTTGAGTGAGTCTATATGTAACACCCCTAATATTATATTGTGATGCTCTCTCTAGAGATTTTTGGAAAATCCGTTGTATATGTTCAGGATCATCTCCATCTAATGGAACACCTTCTCCAAAAGGCTGCTCCTTAGGCCACTGCAACATCCTTACATACTCAATACAGTGCTCTGGTACCCTGGGCATAGATGCAATGGTACACATGGGAAAACTAACCTGTGGTGGATAAAGTTCCAGCGTGCATTCGATACAAGCAGTCATTCCAGGCAGAATCAACCGGGCGTTTCCTTTAAAACCTTCTGTCCCTCCATCTATCAAAGGGATAATGGAGCTTGGATCTAAGACACCATCTTCATAATTTAGAAGAGATATCGGCATGCCATTTATCCAACTTCTGGCTATGATAGAGTCCAGTCCACAGACAATAATATGAAATTGTAGATAGAAAGTGTCGTTAAAATCTTGAATCTTGCTGACAGGTGGAACTACATTGCAATTAGGAACTCTGTCATTTAGAAATTCTGCAGCAACTTCAGCCTTAGGTCTTCCAACACCTTTAGGCCTAAATAAAAACTGCCTATTTAGATTGGAAACGTCTATAGTGTCCATATCTATAACATGAATCCGTCTAAAACCAGACAAGGCCAGATTTTTCAGGAGCTCACATCCTAAGCCTCCAGCTCCAATGACGAGAATTTTACAAGTATCTAACAAGAACGGGAGAGATGCAGTGCTCGGTTCGAAATCAGGGTGTGTGAAGGGTCCAGATCGCTCGAGGAACTTCTTTATAGGGTTCCAGCGACCTTCCCAGTCTCTAGTGTCCCCACACCCACCATCAACAGCAATTTTCTCAGCCAGCAGCTCCTCTATTCTCCTTCTTTTCTTCTCCGGCTCCTTGCCATCGGCCATATGGTTCTCCCCCTTTTCCCTCCCAGGATTTTTTTTTTTTTTTTAGTCCTGGAATGGGGGACCCTTGACAATTGAACTCAGCATCCTTAATTTAAGTGTGCATTTGTCTAAGGATGTGTGTGTCAGCTTTGACAAGTAGGTACAACTGCTGCAATTCCAACATCCTTAACCTGGCTCTGTCAGAAACTTGAAAACTATTGATTCTAGGTTATTTGTAGCCTGCCAGAGCACTTGTTCTTATCCTCTCTCCCCCGACCCCAACTTGGCTTTTAGAGTAAGTTTTCTTCAGTTTCCAAAAAATGAATCATTGTGAATACAAAATGGCTAAGAGTATATCTTTGGACACTATACCCCACAGCAGACACAGGCTGACCCAACGGGGGCCCTTCCAGGATTAACAAGGATCTGAGAACATAGAAGTAGGGGCAATAAAGGAAATTGATGTTCTCTGAGATTTATTTGTCAAATATTTTGTATATCTTTTGCCCATTCCCAAATTCCTTTACTTAATTCTAAATTTGATTTTAACAGCCTACAAATTCTTATTGGATTAAATCTTTATGATTTATCTGTACTTTTGAGTTCCTGTAATTGAAAATTCCATTTATATGTGATTTTCTTATTACTATAGTATTTTTTTGTACACCAGAGGACCCCTGGATCTGTATTTCAGGAAGGTACATAAGCCAGTTTGGACTGGCCTAATAGTCAGATTGTCATTAATAAGAAGGAATGAAGCACACAAAATGTAAGCCTCAGGTTTAAGCCTTGCCCTGCCCTCCACCTACAACACCCTCTCTCTCTCTCAGTCTCTCTCTCTTTCTCTCTCTCTCTGCAATCTGATGCTCAGATAGAAAGCTGGGTTCTAACCTGTGTGATTTTGATAATCCTTAGTGCTAGTATTGATAGGAGAAGAACGTAAAGAATTTAGAAACTAGAAGTGGCAAACCTGAACTGGCAATTGCAAGACTGTAAGCCACTGACTTTGATTAAAGAAACATTGTCTCACTCACAATGGGCAGTTTGTCTTCTAATTCTGAGAAAGTTAACCTAAAAAGAGTGAAGCACAACCTTACTTTTTGTTTTAATGTGTTACTGGACATTCAGATTGAAGAATAAAAATGTATACGTATAACCTGCTGAATGAATGCAGTATAGTTTAGATAGCACAGTTGGTTTTTCCAATGAAAATTATTAGGCCACAGTAAAATGCTGGGTTAATCTGTCAAACTTTCAGTAGAAAGTTCAGGAACTCTAACAAATAGAGGGGCCAACAGACTTTACTGAAAATTAATACAAATTTTAGTCAGGTGACTAGCAATAAGCTTTTAAGGTCATCATGTTACAATCTATTATAAGTTTTGCTCTACCTCCAGCAAATGTTCACATATAACATTGGAATCATTAAACTGGTTAAATATGTGATGATAACACAACAAGTCTCTAGTATCTCACATCTAGAAGATTACAACAGACTTCTGAATTCCCTTCCCCTATACCTCAGGCATAGAACAGACTCCCCTCAGCATAAAGGTTCCTATGGCAATGATTATTAACCAGGGATGGGACCTAGAAGGGTATGGCTGACATATTGGAATTGGGTGGGGAAAGGAGGAGGATTGATGTAGCATCTCAGGTGATTTTTAGACACCCCTCATGGTGAGCTACTAATACGGTTTTAACAGGTATGCCAGGTTCAATCCTGCCCAAATATAATCTCTCCTTCCTCAATACCATGATACTAATTTTTCTTAAATTATTTACTGTATCATCACATTCCCCTTCTTACACACCTTCATCGTCTACCAGTTGACGCTCATACTCCTCAGCTTGACTTTCAAGAAACACTGCACCTCCCGCTCCCACCATCGTCATGAAGCTTCATAAGATTAGAAGTTCGGTATATCTCCTACTACCCCTTGCCATAACATTACCTTTTGAGAATGGTGCTAGAAAATCAGTTCATTTCAACAATTTTTTAAAAATTTTAAGCTCTAACATGTATGGCTTTGAGGGACCCAAGGGTAAATAAAAGCCAGGATCACTGTTCTAAGGAGTATAAAAGTTGGCTGGAGAGAGGAGAGGAAACCGGCCATTGCAGCTTCATAGGCTGTGTGCTTCGCTTGGGCACAGAGAGTTGAGCCTTGAGTGATGGGAGGTCACGGTGGCTTCTAGGAGGGGCCAATTTGAGAAATGAAATCCAAAAGGTGAGCAGGAGTTTAGCAAAGAAAGGGAAGGCAGGACATTAAAGCCAGAAGGAAAAGACTGCATATAAAAAGGTGAGAAAAAGTAACCAGTTTAGGATGGATGAGTCATCTGTGGATAGTTGATATGTATATTGCTGATAATAATCTGGGGATCACTCAAGTCCAGTCACGGTAATGTGGGATATAGTCAGAAATGCTTTAAAACCAGAGAAAGTGTTGACTCAAACCAGTACATTGAACGTGCCTGCTTGGTGGCAATGGACAGGAGGGAACATCCTAGAAGTGTGACAGGCTTATTAAGCACTGTCCAAGGGATAGACACATGCATCAGCTGGGCACAAGTACTGTCATCACTAGAGGGGGATGCTCCATGGTGGGGCTGGTAGAGATCTCCATCCTATGTTCCCTAAATAACCTTCTCATGCCTGGAGACCTTCATACTGGAAAGAGGCTATCATTACAGCAAACATCAGTATGTAGTCCCTTCCAAAGGTGATTTGCTTTAAAAAAGAGAGTGATTTTACTTTATAACCAGTTTCTTTAAAAAAAAATTTAGCATATGGACAGTGCCAAGTGACTGATTAATGTGTGTGTTCTAAGAAGATCAAAATTTGGGCTCTGTAAAACCAAGGATTAGGCTCTGGGCCCTGGTGGCTCCATGGGGCCCTGCTCAATGGAAGGCACTAGTTAAGAGGTCAGCGAGCCTCCTCTTTAAATGCAATAAGAACAATCTGTGTGTCCTGCTACTACTATTACTGGTAGGTTTTGCATCTCCTCTGTCTTCTTGCCCCCCTCTCCATCTAGAATGTAATATGAAGCAGTGTGACTCAAAGTGCCGTAATGCAAATGGTTTGTCACCTGCCTAAAACAAGATACATCCAGAAATTGAGAGTAAGAGTTAGAACATTTTAGATACATTTGACAGAGTAATTAATTTCTGTTGAGTGTAATAAAAATTGGGGGCTTTTAAAATATGCTGTATGTCTTTGTTTCTTCATTTCATTTTATAGTAATTTATTTCTACAAAAATATTGGTCCATGGTGGATTGGTCTTTCACCCCAGATAGTTTGGGAAGTACCAATATAGAGGGTAGGGATCCCTGTTTTACACTGATGGTGTGTGACATTCAGTGCCTGTCCAAATGTCAACCCTGCTGCACGGCGGCAGAATCACCTTGAGAACTAAAAAAATATATATATATATTTATCTATATCCATCTATAGAGAGAAGCATCAGCTCCACCCTGAACAATTAAATGAGAATTGAGGTTGGATTATGGTGTGGCAAGGGCATCTGCATTTCTTAAAATCTTGCGTGGTGTTTCTAACGTGCAGCCAGGAATGAAATCCTTAATGTGGGTGGTATCCAATCGATGAACACAGGTTGAATGAATGACTAAAACATGTCAGCCAGCCAACAACAGGCATTTATTACACACCTGAAAGCACACCTGACAATGCTGTACCAGGTGCTGAGTAACACATTATAAAGTCATGAAGCTTAATCAAGAATTTACAATCTGATGATAAAGCTCCTATGGACAAAGCCAATACATAACAAAGGGCACGGATAAATAAACCTACAGTATTCACCCACAAATAAAATAACATTTATACACTATGGATGGATGAAGCCCAGCTCTCTCTCTCTCTCTCTCTCTCTCTCTCTTTCTCTCTGTCTCTCTCAAAAGCAAACAGCATATTCAATAATATTTCACCTAATGGGAAAGAGATTTCCTTAGGTTGGTGTCTCCCCGTTGGTCAAAGAATCCACTAGATGTCACTCAAGGTCCCTTAAGGTTCCCTTTCACAAGATTTGCATGGTCTTTAATTTTACATCAGATCATATTCCTCACCAAACTTTGTCTCCACAGTCCAAGACTCCTAATGGAAACCATGCAAAACGTAAGGCACAGAACGTGCTGGTTGTTTGATCTCCTTCCATGGCTTCCACTAGCACTCTAGGGCAACACCATTCATGCATCTATTGAAGAACAGTAACTAAGGGCTGATGGTCTATGACACATTAGTTTAGGCTGTGGTGGAATCATGATGAGTTAAATAGCCTTGGTTCTGTCCTCATGGAGTTTACAGTTTAATCTGTGAAAGCACTCTTGATTCTAATTTGTGTTGATTACTTATTTATTAGTTCTCCCTTCAGACCCGAAGCTCTCAAACTTTTCTGGCCACCACATTCAAAGTAAGAAAGAGATTTTATATTGCAACCTATATTCACACTAATGCCCAAACACATAACCAAAGTTAAAGTTTCAGGGTAAAATGCTTCTCTTCATGTTGTGCGATACACTGATATTTTCTAGTCTATTCCAGTTCCTTTTCTTTTTTTTCAAAATGCTAGTCATGATCCACCAAACTGACTTCACAACCCACTAAGTCACAATCCTAAGAATAAAAAATACTTGACTTGAGGGCAATGGCCACCTCTTGTGCCTAGCAAATCGTAAGTGAGCAATATATTTTTTTAAGTGAATGAAAATTTGGGGACTAATTTGCATTAATGTTTATGTTAGGAGGACAGAGATTAAGTGGTTTATAATATGCATAATCAGCACAAACTCTGATTATGCATATTATAAATGTGTTCCTAAGAACACACTTCTACATACATGTTACATTCTATAGACACAATTATAATGGATAATTTTTTTCAGATAATCTATACATGCTATACCAACTACACTATATATGCTGTTGATGTAATTTATTATTTCAGTCACAATCAAGGACTCACATATTTTAAATTCACATAATTAAAAATATGTTCAGCTGGGCGCAGTGGCTCACGCCTATAATCCTAGCACTTTGGGAGGCTGAGGCAGGCGGATCACAGGGTCAAGAGATCGAGATCATCTTGGTCAACATGGTGAAACCCCATCTCTACTAAAAATACAAAAATTAGCTAGGTGTGGTGGTGCATGCCTGTGGTGCCAGCTACTTGGGAGGCTGAGGCAGGAGAATCGTTTGAACTCAGGAGGCGGAGGTTGCAGTGAGCTGAGATCATGCCATTGCACTCCAGCCTAGCCACAGAGCAAGACTCTGTCTCAGAGAAAAAAAAAAATACATTCATCTGGGAAAAAGAAGTTATAAGCAGCAATGAACTCTTTTGGATATTAAAACTCATTACAAATTCCAGTAGCAAAACAGCCCTGTATTAGAGACCATAGCAACAGAATAACAGCCTCCGAAAATCCCTAATCCATGAAACCTACGAATGTTAGCTTGCATGGCAAAAGGGATTTTGCAGATGTGGTTAAGTTAAAGATTTTGAGATGTGGATATTATCCTGGATTACGTGGGTAGACACAATGCAATCACAAGGATCCTTATAAAAGGGAGGCGAGAGGATGAGAAAAGATGATGAGAGAGATTTGAAGATGCCATGATACTAGGTTTGAAGATGGTGGAAGGAGCCAGGAGCCAAAGGATGCAGGTGACTTTCAGGAGCTGGAAAAGGCATGGAAAGAAACTCTCCCCTACAGCCTCCTCAAGGAACACAGCTTGGCAGCCTATTTTGATGTCCAGAACTGTAAAATAATACATCTGTGCTCTTTTAAGCCACTAAAGTTATGGTAATTTTATTTGTTTGTTTGTTTTTTGAGATGGAGTCTCACTCTGTTGCCCAGGTTGGAGTGTAGTGCCGTGATCTCCGCTCACAGCAACCTCCACTTCCTGGGTTCAAACAATTCTCCTGTCTCAGTATCCCAAGT